AGACTATCCCATTTTATATTTGTGGATAACATTGTGTTTCACAAACTTTAAGGAGGGGCCCCTCCTCAACTCTGCCTTTATATATGACTTTCTTTTACTCCAGGGGAAAATTGCATAATAAAGTTAAACCCTTTTTGAGGCATGCCCTGTGGTTACACCCCAATTCCTTGACCTGCTGCCCAGCCTCAGATCTGCATTGCTCCTTCAAACTTCCACACAGTGATTCAAGTCTCTGTGGTGTGAAGCGAAGACTTCCAACCCAACCACCAGAAGAGATGGAGGTACTGTTTGTCGAGCTGGAGATCCCTGGAGATCTGGGGGTTAAGACAAGGGCCAGCTACTGATTTGACGTCTCTGTGCTTCAATTCCATCTTCTGTAAAATAGGGCTTATTATGTTTGTTATGAAGACTACGCTAATATGTGAAAAGTTCCTTGAATAGTACCTGGCACAATGGAAACACTTAAGAAATGTTGACCCTTTATTGCTATTTAGGCAACATTGGATTGACTGAGAGACATCCAAGCAGAGACAATTCTATGGGTCAAGAGCTCAGCAGAGGAGCAAGTGACAGATATTTGGGTGTCATTATGACATAATAAGAAATATATTTGGTCTTTGTCCCCAGTTCCTGGCACTGAGCTCCTAAATCCCTTGGCGTTTCCTGGTGATAGGAGCATCTTGTGTTCTAATGAGGTGACTCTTGTGGGGTGGGCTCCTAGGTAGCTTCAGGATGGGGGCTGGTCGCCAGAAAGATAAAGCCCTGATTAGAAGCCTGAAACTTTCAGCCTCACCCACACCACCAGCCTCCAGGGAGTGGAGGGTAACTTGAGATTGAGTTAATAATCAGTTATGCCTATGTGATGAAACATCCACAAGCACCCCTCAAAGAAGGGGCTCAGAGAACTTTGAGGTGGTGAATGCATCCACATGCTGGGAGGGGCGCACACCCCAACTCCGCAGAACAGAAGCTGCTACACTGGGGACCCTTCGGGACCTTGCCTTATGCACCTCTTTAACTGGCCATTCATTTGTATCCTTTGTAATAGACCGGCAAGTGTAAAAAAGTGTGTTCTGAGTTCTCCGAGCTGCTCTAGCACATTACCAAGCCTGAGGAGGTGCTGTCGGAGCCCCAATCTAGAGCTGTTTTGGTCAGCAGTACAGGAGGCCAGGGACTTGCAGTAGTATCTGAAGTGGGGACAGTCTTGTGGGACTGAGCCCTTCAGCAGTGGGATCTGTGCTAACCTCAGGTCGGTAGTGTCAGAATTGAATCAAGTTACTGAGCACCCAGTTGGTGTCAGGAGGATCAGAGAACTGGTTGTTGGTACTGGAGAACACCACAGAGGTGGTTAAAGCCATGGGGTAGATGATATGGCCATGGTGGGGACTATGTGTCCTGGGCTCCCTCTTAGCTAAGAATGGTTGTGTGATGAACTTCTGGCTGCTGGGATGTAAGCAGAAGTAATGCGTGCAGTTTCCCATCATATTTGTAAAAGGAAAGTGTTTGCCCTCTACTCCCTCTTTTCACATCTCTGTGAGCTGGGATGTGAATGTAGGGGATGAACCTTCTTCGACCATGCAAGTGAGTGCAATGATCTTGGGGAAACAAGAGAGAAGGTGCCTGGGCTCCTTGTGCTGAGAACCAGTCCATGCCCGAACCCTCTGCAGCTTGGATTCCCATATGAAAGGGAAATAAACCTCAGTGGTATTTGAGCCACTGTTATTTGCTCTCTGTTAAGGCAGCTGCCCAATACCTTAACTAAGATGCTCATTGTTCATTGATTCAGTGACCATTTCCCAGGGGGCCCATGACGTGCCAGCACCACGTGAGACATCAGGAAACACAGGTGCACAGCAATGGCCTGGGGTGCCAGGGGGCTGACCAACACAGGTTCTAATTGTTTCTTCCCAACTCACACCTGCTTTCAGGACCCGGGTGCCTGCACCAGCAGTAAGACCTCCTATGACTGTAGGCCCCTGAGAAGTTGCAGACTCAGACAGGAGACTTTTACATGGTGGGCATGTGCTCAGGCCTCCTGGGCAGGGCTGGGAGCTGGAACCGAGGGCCCCTCACAGCATCTGAATCCAGGATTCACAACACACACTGCCATTTTATCTTTGTTGGTTTTTAAAAAAATTCTTTATTGGTTCTTTAAATTATTAAAGTAATAATAAACATTTGCATCTTCCTGTATACACTATAAACTATACAGTTCTACAGACACTATATCCAAGGGTCCAAGCTGGCTCATGTTTCAGCAGTAGGGCGGCTCTGATCCACATGCTTTGCACAGTTCTATATACACCCGATAAAAACATTCAAACTATGTAGAAAATAGGGAAAGTACTGGAGAAGCCCTCATTTAGATATAAGCAAGGTATGTCATTGGCCAGTTTTTTAAAAAATCAGTGAAGGTGGGCAATCATAAACATGGGTACATATATGCCTTTGTCATTTGGTTTTGACTTCAAACGTATAAATGCACATTTAGGCATCCATCTCTCTTTGCATCTCCTGACTGCAGTTCCAGTTGGGAAATACTATTTCCAGCTTTGTTAAATGGGGTAAGAACATAAAGACACATGTGGAACTACACGATACAGAGTCCGCCTAGATTTTTTAGATTTTTCCTAAATGTTTTCATTATCCTTAATACCTAATTCAACATTTCAGTCATTCTCTTTTTAGCCTTTCCAAAGCATTCAACTTAGTTTTCAAGGAAATGATTCTTTATGCACCCGTATTCCATCAGTTTGTGCAATATTTAATTGAAGTAAGTGACTATCTGATTGCAGTGACAAATAAACCTGGCATAAACAGGTGAGAGAACTCACCACAGACTCTTGATAAACAGACAACTCCACCCGGAGGGAGCCTGGAGTCCTTGCTTTTTGACACTCTGGGTCAGCACACTATGACCCCATGGGCCTGTGTCCTATGGGTCAAGAATGGGTTTTACATTTTCAAATGGTTCAAAAAAATCAAAAGAAGAAGAATATTTCATGACATGTGAAAATTATATGAAAGTCAATCTTTAACATCCACAAATAAAGTTTCATTGGAGGACTGACCCAGCCATTCATTTCTCTGTATAGTTCTTTGGCTGCTTAACTGCTACAATAGCCAGGTTGAGTGGTTGCAGCAGAGACTAAAATATTTACTATTTGGACCTTTATGGAAAGACTGCCGATGTCTGTTCTGGAGAGAAGCCTGAGCCTTGGGTGCGCACCATGCCACAGGTGTCTGCCACAGGTTTTACAGAAGGACCTGCAACTTTGGGTAGGGGAGGCCTCCTAGGGGATCTCCTACCAAGAAAGTGAATATCCTTTCTTTCTTGGCATTACTGCCTCCCAAGCCTACCCCTTAGACAGAACCAGAATCCACCTTGTGGCAGTTTGTCCAACTCCCATTGACATCATTCCCTTCCTCATGGTCTCACTTGGCCTCCACAGAGCTTTGCACACGATGACAGATGATAGGAAATAGAGAGTGCCTCTTCTTGCTTCCCTACCATTTGTCCAAGGACATGACAAAGCTTCCTTGAATGTCACCAATGTTCTTTTGGAGAGATGTGGCCTTTTTCCAATGGTGTCAACTGGTTACTCTTCATTCTATGCAAAGAGCTAAATGTTTTAAAAAAGAAGCCATTTATACTAATGACAAAATTAACAATCTTGCATTTCTGTAAGCACTGTCACAGTCACCAATATTTTTCTGGGTTGTGGCCAGTAATCAAGGTAGCAAAGAGAGTTTCACATGGACTAATCAACAAGGGGCCTTAACAATCAGAAAGCAGACAGATCCACTACCTAACTACTGTAGACATTTATTGATTTTCTGCTATCTTCTCCAGCTGATGAAAGGCTAACAGTACTGTCTAGACATAACCCTAACTTGTTCTTGGGTGAAACGTGTGGAACATCTGCAGCTGTAAGGAGGTGTGTGTGTGTGTGTGAGACCATCATCTCTTTCCTGCATTATTGCAATAGGTTCCCAACTGGCCTCCCTGCTTCTGACCTTGCCCCCATTTGGTCTACTCTCAAGTAGCAGCCAGAATGCTTCTTTTAAAATGTAAGTTAGATCATGTCACTCCTTCAGCCAAAGGTCTTATCTCATTCAGAGCAAAAGCCAAAATCCTTATAGCAGCCCACCAGGCCCTACATGATCCCCTGCTGCCTCTCTGATCTCCTCTCCTTCTAACTCTGCCCATTGCTCACTCTACTCCATGCACATGGGCCACCTTGCCACTCCTCCAACTGCCAAGCATGTGCCTACGCCAGGGCCTTTGCACTAGCTCTTTCCCCCACCTGGGACACTTCCAAAGGCAGCTTCATGGTTTGCTTCCTCAGTTCCTTCAAACATCATCTTATATGCAAGACCTTCCCTAATCACCCAACATAAAATAAGTCCCTGCAAGCCCCAGCACTGTACCCTCCCACCCTGATTTTCCTGATAGTGCTCATCATAATCTCACATACTACATGCTTCCTTATTTATTCACTTTTTTTCTATTTTCTGCCACTGGAACATAAGCTCCATGAGGACAAGAATTTTGCCTGTTTGTCACTGCTGTGTTCCTGAGGCTTTGAATTGTGCCTGCCACATAGTGGTAGCTTAGTAAATGCTTGTTTAATGAGCTGAGTCATTCTCGCTGCGTGACGGCCTCTTGTCCCTAGGACCTTGGGCATGAGGCCTTGCCTGAGCGTGGAAGGCCAAGGACTAGTGCTGCCAGTCCTCAGCTCGTGGGCCCATGTGCCTGGAGTAGACTGAGCAATGGGGAGAGTTCGAAGGAGGGGAGATCAGAGAGGATCAGGGGATCATGCAGGGCCTCGAGGGTTCCTATAAGGACTTTGGCTTTTACTTCAAAGAGAGGCCCTGTGTGGGCGATGTGGGGGAGGTGGGTGGGTGGCAGGGTACAGAATGCTAAGCTTTGGGATGAGTAGCATGGACCACCCCCATCCTGATGAGTGGCCCTGAGCCCACTGGGCGAGGGGGTGGTTAGCTGGGATCCAAGTCCACGGCCTCTCTGACTCCTGAGGTAGCCTTGCTAAGTGCTCTGAGAAAGGGGACCGAGAGAACACCAGTGGTTCTGTCCCCTACCCTTTGAGGACCAGTTGGAGGCAACTGCTGGTCCCAGATCTACAGTTATAATTATTTTGAAGTTCTCCCCTCACAGATGTCAGCCTCCCACCCTCCAGACATATTTCATAGCGGCTGAGCGTTAAGGGATCAAAGCTGGCGGTGGGTGTGCAGGTGGGGGTGGCTGAGCCTACTGATCCAGGTCTGAGACATCCTCCCCACTAATCAACAAGTGAATAAACCCTTCAGTGAGTAGGTGGTGATGAGTGAGCCAGCCAGCTTGCTCTGTAACTGGGGAGTGGGACTGGAGGCAGAAGCATGATGGACAGGGAGGGTTTGTGAGGATGCGGGGGGGCTGGCTCCTGGTCCACCCCAAGGAACCTCCTAGTGTCCCATTTACTTTCACTCTAAAAGTAAATGGTTGTACCCCAAACCCAGGCTTTCTCCCATGCCTTCTAGCTTCTCTACTGTTTCTCCTCTCCTCCCATCTACCCTCGACCCCCCATCCCCAAGGCAGGAGGGCTCCTAGGATGCTACAAAGTCCCTGAGGATTCTCACTCCTGTCCTCTCTGTCTGCCCCGGATCTGTCTGCTCCAGAATGCCTGTCACCCCCGAGCTGGTCAACAGAGCAGACAGCCCTGAGGTAGGCTTGTCCCTTTAGTCTTCAGGGGCCTTGTCCCGGCCTGCTCCGGGTTAGCTGTCCCAACCAGCCCCCCTGGCTACCCTTCCCATCCCTAGGTAACCACTGTCTTCTGTCTTTCCACGGCCTCTGGGGAGGGGACTTCACTTCTTTCTGCTGTCTACTGTCCAAACTGGATCCAGGCTTGTCCCTCTGTGTTTGTCCCCATGTTCTGGGGGACTTCTCAGACTGGAGCTCTGCAGGACAGTGGAGCACCTTCTCCCTCAGGTTGGGAGAGCCCAGTGATACCGCTGCTCCCCTCTCCCCAGGCTGGGGTCCCCCTGAGGATACAGCTGTGACTCTTCTGAGGCTGGGGATCCTGGGGAACCAGCTCCACCCTGGCCCCCAGATATCAGTTCCCCAGCAAGAACGGTTTTCTCCTCCCTCTGAGGATTCAGTCTGTGTTCACTTGTCCCGATGTCCTCTCCCACCTCTGTGCTCAGCTTGCTGCCCTGGTCTTTCTTGGGATGTTTGGGGCCAACTGGCTGATAAGGAGCCATTTCCGGAGAGTGCAGGTGATTGAAGCCATAAACAGGTGCTTGAGGGAGGCCTGGAGTCTCCGCCTCAGGAGAGCTCTAAGAATAACAGCCTCGGCCATCTGTCCTGGAGGGTGGGGGGCCTGGCCCAGGACCAGGGGCCTGGACAAGATGGCGCCTCGTTGCCTTCATGGGCAGGGCGGATGCTGGGAAGAACTGGAGGCTCTGGCCAGGCTGGGGAAAGGGAGCTGGGAAGGGCTTTATGGGAAGACTCCCCAATAGCCCGCTCTTCCTGGTGGGGGCGGTGGGTCTGATGGGGTTGGCAGTCTGGAGACCCCCCTCAGAAGGGGCATCAGGCCCCAAGCTCTGCCTCCCCTCCCTGCTCCCCTTCCTGACTCCCGAGTCCATGCTTATTTCAGGTAGTGAGCCCTTGTGCCCCTCATGAATGAGAGGACCTCTTCCTGGCATCTGCCCCAGTCCTTTTCTCTTGTCTGTGTCCGCATGACCTTGGCTATTCCTCACCGCTCAGAACTTCAGTTTCCTCATCCATAAAATGGGGATAAACTCAGCTCATTGCGTTCTTGTGCTGAATTCACGTATTGTCTAGAATACAGTAAGTGCTTAATAAATGGCAGTCCTTTCCACTTTCCTTCAAAGGGCCTGGGTGAGGATCTTTGCTCCAGAGCCCCATGGAGACTGCGATGGGCTAGGGATGGTGGCATGTGCTGGGACAGCCCTGGCATCACTCAACCCTGAAAGACACCAGTGCCCTGAATGATGGGGACGGTGGCACACAACCTGGGAAGATTTCTCTCTCTGTGCCAGGCCTGACGGGACCTAGGGCTGTATGTGTCAGGCTGGGTGCACAGGTGGCAGACTTGGCTGCTTCTGGGGAGGGAACTGGCTTCTGCTTCCTCCTTCCCCTTTCCCTAACCCTTTAACAGAGAGGGGACATAGTGAGGTGCCCAGAGAGGCCTCTCGTCCAGGACATCACAAAACAGCAGGTCAAGAGCCAAGGTCATAACTCCCACCCTATGTCCAGTAGAAAGACACTTGCCGCACAGGCCCTGTCACTCCCTCACCCTTCCTAAGGTGCTGCCAAGCAAGGTCGGGAAAGTTCCTTCCAGAGCGGTCACAGGTCCCGCAGGCTGCAGGAAACAAGGCCCATCTACTGCCCCCCACTCCTATGTGTGGACAGGCTAGGGAAGGTGGGGTCCCATCCCTGGTCCTAGGGACTGCCCCAGGAGTCTAGATACAACGTCACCTCCTCAGGAGTCTAGGCCTGCTGCTGTGGAGGGAGATGGAGGTCGGGCTGGCACCCCATCCAGAGGGATCCTGAATCTGAGCCTGGTGGCTGCCCCCTCAGCTCCTCCACGGTGGAGACATCACGCACTGCCTGGGTATGAGCTCATTTTAGCCTGGTGGAGGGAGGGAGGAGGAAGGGCCCTCCCCCTCAGACTCCCCCTCCCCGTGCAGGCCAGGATATAAGCCCCGCAGGGCAAGCACCCAGCAGAGGAGGCCGCAGCCCAGCCTGCAGCAGTCCAGCCTTGGGGACTTCGTGCCTTCCACCTCCTGCTCATCTCTGCTTCCCAAGCTGTTGCTGTGAGTGGCCCAGGACCCAGGACTGGTCTGGCACTGGGGGGCCCAGGCTGTTTTGTGAGGAAACTGCGACTGGGAGGATGGAAATGGGCTGAATGGCACAAAGCTGGATGGGAAGGGCTGGGTAGGAGAGAGGCCTGGGAGCTCCCGCTGCTAGCCCTCTTCCTCCGTCGTTCTGCGCAGTGCGGGTCGGGAAGGGGAGGCAAGTAGTTAGGCCTCTTAGACAGGTGAGGAAACTGAGGCCAGAGATGGCGCAGTGCTGGAAAACACACAGCGAGCGGGTAGTTGGGCCTTGGTCCGGTACCAGTCCCAGACAGGCCGCTGAGGCGTGGGCCCGACAGCAGCCTCGGCCTCCCGCCGTCGGCGGTCGAGTCTCAGGATGACCCACGCTGCAACGGCCCTTCTCCAGATGGTGACGGTGCGCAGGCCGTGGCCTGTCATGGCCACAGTGCTGCTGGCCCTGCTTGCCTTCCTGGGGGCGCTCGTCGACGCCTACCCCTCCAAACCCGAGGCTCCCGGCGAAGACGCCTCGCCAGAGGAGCTGAGCCGCTACTACGCGTCGCTGCGCCACTACCTCAACCTGGTCACTCGGCAGCGGTGAGCGCGGGGTGGGGACGGGGCGGGGTCTCCGGAGCTCCCGCCCCGCCCACCTGGCGTGGCCTAGCTGACCTCGCCCATCTCTGCCCCGCCTCCAGGTATGGGAAACGCGACAGTCCCGTAGCTCTCCTCTCGGAACTGCTCCTCCCCGACGGCGAGGACCCCTCGGTCAAGCCGCGGTACAAGCGCGCCCTCACCACACGCCCAGCCCCCTAGCGCGCGGCCTGGGCTGCTGCCCCACGGGGTCCTCACGCTGGCACCACCACCTGGTGCTCCCGCCAGTCCCGCCTCCCCAGCTCCGAGGCCGGCTCCACGCGATTCCTTTCCTTTCCCTCCTACAGGCCCGAAGGCGCCCACATGTGGTGACGACCCCCGGGCCTCCTGGCAGACACAACTGCACGGACCTCATTTGCATGTTTGCTCCCGGCCGCGGAGCCTGGATTCTTTTCCCTGCCGCCTGCAATGCAGAGTTCGGCACGGGGTCCTGGTTCCATTTCTCGGTGCCCCGCCCCCTGGGCTGGAGGCTGTGTGTGGTCCTTCCCTGGTCCCCAAATAAAGAGCAACTTTCACCGGAAAGGAATGTGTGCGTTTGCATTTCCTCTCTCTTCTGGGTGGCGTCCGGGTGAGAGCGGAGGCTGGTGCCGGGAGAAGACTCGGACTCGGGCAAAAGGAGCGGGAGAATCGGGCTGGGGCCGCGTGGGGCTTCCTGTGCTCCGGAGCCCGGGCTGGGGACCTCTCTGGAGCTCTCTAGTCGGTGTGCAGGATGACAATTCTTGAAAAAGTGCAGAGGGAAGTCACAGCAGGATGGGGAAGGTGGAAAGGAGCAGGCTAGGCAGCCTAGGAGAATGAATGGGACAGACCTGCCCCTCTCTCCGAAGATGAGGGCGGGAGGGGGCCCGGCCAGGCACCAACACTGCCAGCGCCCGTTACCCTGGGAGCTGAGGGACTAGCCCCCAGGGCTGCAGTGGCTGGGGAGGGCCAGGGGACCCAAGATGGGGCTGTGGCTGTGGAGGAAGAGTATTTGGCGGGTGAGGCGGGTGTGTGTGTGCTGGCGGAGGGGTCATTCCTGACCTCACCCATTCTCCGCGTAGAGCATTGGGGGTGACAGCGCCCGTTACCCTGGGAGCTGAGGGACTAGCCCCCAGGGCTGCAGTGGCTGGGGAGGGCCAGGGGACCCAAGATGGGGCTGTGGCTGTGGAGGAAGAGTATTTGGCGGGTGAGGCGGGTGTGTGTGTGCTGGCGGAGGGGTCATTCCTGACCTCACCCATTCTCCGCGTAGAGCATTGGGGGTGAGTGTGAGGCTGCCCTTTCCCTCAACAACTGCTCCCCCGTCCCATCTTCTGAATTCACACTCAGTGGATAAGTCACTGCCTGTGCCTTCCTTACTTATAACAAGGCCACGGGCACCCCTCACCCCTTTCTCTGAGCTAGACACTGAAGGCTGAAGGCACTATGGATGTTTAAACCAGTGTCTAACCCTAATTCCTCACCACTCTGCACCCACCGCCACGAGGAATCCTAGAGCCTGACTGCAGGCTGATCTTCACAACACCCTTCCTTTCCAGCCCCTTTCCTCCCTGAAGCCTGCCTTGATTGTCCCTGATCTGCACTCTTCCTGCCCTCTGTGGCAGCCCAGCTCTCACGGACTGTCCATGTCTCCCTTCTAGGTCTGGGGGCACCCTGAATGAAGGGCCTATGTCTGCTCCCTCAGACCCAACTTCCTCTGTCTGTGGGCTCTCTCCTGGGTCTCTGGGTCAGCAGAACCTAGCTGAGCCCGAGGCAGGGAGCTGGAGGATGGAGGGAAGAATCAGAATGAGGCCAAAGCCCCAGACCCAGAGAGGGTAAAAAGGACAGGAAGGCTGGGTGGTGTCACTTCAGAGGGTAGGGGCCTTGCAGGACTCTCTGCAGTTAGATGCCTCTGGGAGGAGAGAAGACCCTAAAGCTGTCCCTGCCACAGCTGCAGGAGAGGTCGCAACCTGCCCTAGGGGCCTCAGGGCTCTGACTTTTATCCACCCTGCACTGCACCCCTGCCTCCCTTGAGGTAGAGCTGGAAGGGTGAGGTGGAGGCAGGTCAGGGTCTTGGTGCAGATCACAAGCTTCGTGGACTCTGATGTTCTAAGCCTTTGCCCAGACCACTCCTCCTGTCCACACAGCTTTCTCCGTCTCTTCAGTGTGGAAAACATTCTGGGTAGTGTTCACTTGCCCCTAGAAGTGTTTCCTGATTTCGAGTTAGTTTCTCTGGTTCCCTCTCTCTCCTGCATTGTCATTCTCTGAGACCCGCTTCCCATTTCATTTTGCCTGTCTTTTTTTCCCCATCCCACACCTCTGCACCAGGAGAGGTGGGATGGGAGCACACAATGACTGCCATGAGCTTTGGTTCACTATGTGGTCAGAAGAGTGGGAGGACGGGTATCTGTGTTGGGGTCCATGGTCCCTTCTCTGTGGGTCTGCCTGGGACAGCTGTGGTCAGTGTGAGGCTAATGGAGGAGACCCCTCATATGAATTATGCATGACCACAGACAATTTCTGCCCAGCTTGACATGCCTGGTTGACCATCAGTGACATGGGTTCATATCACATTCACTTGGAGTGGTGTTGA